GAGTTGACTTTATGTGCTAGAATTTTATAAATATCAATTCAAGACCAAATTTGGGATATAAAAAAAAACAAACTCAGTCAAGTGATCTAAAAATATTGAAACCATTTCTTTTATTTTATGCCTGTTTCAGTTTCCTGTTGGTGCAGTCACTGAGGGTGGAGGTATGTTGTGTGTGGTAGAGGGGGCGGAGCAAAGAGAAACCAAGAGAAGAAGTGACTTTACTCACTTTGCTGAAAGTTTACTGTGAATTCACTGAGTTATGCTGAAGGGAAACAATAATAATCTTTCAACTGGATACTGACGAGAAAAATCTGTGAAATTGGTGTGAAATCACTGAATGTTGTTTTTATCCATTGGATTTATGATATATGAAATATAATGGTAATAAACAGTAAAACAAAAGTTAGTTTGGGACAAACAAAAATAGCCTGAGGAACCAAAAGAGTTGAGTTGACTGCAGAACCGTGGATCCCAACACGTGGACGACAGAACAGAACACATCCGCAGAACAGTTGCTACAACTGAACAATATAATTTGGGGGGGGAAGCTGAATAATGCGTGTGTAACTTTACACCCTGTATTTGCTGTAATTACCTTGAACTCTGCACAGCTCCTCTCTGTTGTATTTTCCCCCCACATTTCCCCTGACGTTAGAGTCGGAGCGTGAGCAGGCGTCCTCTCACATCGTAGTTTGGAGGATGTGGTTCGAGCAGCGCGTCGTCACAGATGGAAGAGTCCCGAGCTGATCCACACGAGAGTGAAAAAAGTCTCTGAGCAGCAGGATTTGAGGCGACTAGACCAAAGGTCAGGGGAGCCAGAAACATCTGATGAACTCATCATGAAGACACTTTAAGTGTTTACGTGTGAATGTAAGATTTGTATTAACAGACAAGGAACGACAGCAATGTAAGTTTGTCTTTCACATCTGAAGAAGCAGCAGGAGCTTGTCCGGGTCACAACAACAGGAAAATGTAGCCTGGGTCGATCATAGTGACGCATCAATGCTGCTGCGGAGATCATCGACACCAAAAAGTTCTCAAATCTCATCGTCTTTCCAAGATGACGTCTTTGTCTGCGTCTTCTACACTGAAAAAAGAAAATTGTTGGACCAACTTAAGAAACTGCTTAAATAGCGTTTGTATGTAAAACAATTGGTAAGTTTAATTTGAAAGAACTTCATTTACTTGTGTGTTACCAAGGTGGTCACAGAGTTTGTTTGCTTTTCAGTGTCCCTGCACTTTCTCATCCTGAGATATTTCTTTTCTCTTTGTCTCGTTGGTTTTTTTTTGGACATTGTTTTCTCACAGGCTCACAGGGACATTATCCAGAGGTGTTACCACGGCAACAGGAGGAGGAAACAATGTCCGACAACTGACTCGGACGTTCGCGCTCTCATGCTTTCACTCTGGATAATTTCAGGAGATTATCTGGAGTGGAGTGCACGTCTCAAAGCTTTTTGAGATTTGTCTTCATCGGACGAATTAGGTTGTAATTGCTGACTTATGCTGTCTGTTCATTAACCCTTCACCATCTGCTCTGTTATAACGTGTCATAATTCTTAGTGGGGGGGGTTCATCAACCACATTAAATATGTTTTCCTTCTCGCGTGAACTTTCTATTTCTGTGTTCCTCTTGTGTTCTGTGTGTGAGTAATAAAAGCTCCAACAGTTACAGTGGAGTGAGAGACAGGAAACCTCTGGCACACGAGCCACGAGTGATAAAATACTGCTGTAACTGAATCTCTCTCTATCACACGTTCAGGCTGTTCCTCTTATTATCAGGAACAGCTGATAATCCTCACAAAGCGTTTGCTCTCTGTGTTCGTCACGGTGTATTTGACGGAATCACCAGGCAACGAGCTGAGTCACAGGAACCGCAGGCTTCCTACCGGTCTGGTTACCACAGCAACCATCATGCCACAAGGTTGTATGTGTGTGTGTGTGTGTGTGTGTGTGTGT